GTTCCTGATCGTCTAGAAGGCTGGAAACACCTTGGATCAGTGGGGAGTGGTAATCAACCCCGCGAAACGAAACTACTGAACACCACGCGGAAACTGTTGCCATATTGTGCAATCAGCCCGAAGATCGGCATCCAATGATCCAATCCCAGGATTTCGAAAGTCGGCGCCGAACGATTCATCCCCCAGTCTCGCTCGGCCAGGGCGCAGGGGGTCATGAATCCATAAATCTGGCTTTATTCATAATTTCACAGTGAGAGAATGGAGGTGAGGACAAGAACGAAAGCGAAAAAAAAGGGACGCTGCATATGTCTCAGATTTCCTGCTCTCTCACCTGTGACCTGAAGTGGTACCAGCCCAATCGTACCCCCCCAGAAAGACCGCAAGGCGAGGAGGGGGGAGTAAAAAATACCACACGAAAAAGCTTGTCCCCCATTCCCGTTTTCAATCCCTCTTTGCTTTTTTCCCCCAGAAGTCTGCCTGTCTCTCTAGGTATCCGTAAGGTAAACGGCCCTGATGTGAACTGGTTTGCAATGTCTCTCGTCTTTCCCTACTTCCAGGACTCTGGGTCACCACCCTCACTCCCCCTCTCGCCTGCTTACCAATACGCGATCGGGTTGGCCGTCATTTCGAAGATGCGATGCGGAAATCTGGCTCAGGTCACGGGAGTTCCTATTACTTTTGCGTAAGCCTGTAAGGTAGTAAACCATACCTGAAGGTAAGGTCACGCTGCTTCTCAACCTCCCCCCCAAATTGGATTGGCTGCTTCCCCCGGGGTCCCGCCAATGCGGCCATTGGTTGGCCGAAATGACCTGATATGGGACCACCGCAGATGCGAGTGATTTCGTGGCTCCACGGGGGGCGCGCGAGATGCAGGCTTGAGGAGGGTTTTGGTGATCTGCCCTCTTGTGAAACCCCCCTTCAGGCTTCAGGTATCCGTAACATGCACACCACTTTTGTTTGATTCATCGTTAATCGAATTGCTGTCCATGATTGCCGCCGTCTATCCGCCTCTTACCTACCCCAGTGATCGATCAACTGCATGGCACCAAGCACCCCCTGACATCAAAGTACGACGCGACCGTAACCCGTGGTAATTGCTCGAATTGTTATCTTGTTTTTTCGGGGAGGCCAGGGAATTTGATGGATTGAAGCTATTCACACACTCGGTGCGGAATATAGTGGACAAGGGGGAGACCCGAGAAGGAAAAAGAGTACAGGACATCAAGAGAATTATTACATGCTGAAGAGCTGCCCGCCAAAAAGCCCTGCCTCCCCAACGACAACCTCCCAATAACAACAGAAAAAGAACAACATAGAAGCATTATCGTAGCGGGGTCCGTTGCCTCTTCAACTCTCAAGCATCTCCCCTCGCTTCCTCTCACCCACCTCCTCCGCTGACGGAGCTTGCTCGCTTCTCCCTTTTTCACTCACTCTCTCAAGTATTACTAACCCGTGTCGCTGTCCGTGGCTTTTCGTTTTGATCCGTCAAAGGGGACAAAGGTATCTGTCGTTTGGCTGGCATTGTAGAACCCCCCTAAACCCTTCCTAACCCAGGAAACTTTTGTTTGCTTTTTCTCTTCGACTCCAAGCTGGTCCAGGACTTTTTTGGGATTCCGATAATTCCACGACCGCGTAAAAGAATAATCAGCAGGTGTCCTCTGTTTTCTTTCCGGTTCTTCGAGAAGAAGCGATCGTTCGCTGTTTACGGAAGGTTGCTGCATTCCCGATGGCCCTCGGGGGTCTTGGTATTCCACGCGTAAAATAGAAAAATGACAATCCGATCGGAGCATATCGACTGTTCCGATATCAACATCGCTAACCCATGATATACGTTGCTTTACATCACCAAGCAGCATCCGCCGCTTTGTTGTGGTGCGTAGGGGTCTTCGCCGCGGGGGACAGCGCCCCAAACCGATGGAACCATGTAGTCCCTCGTGCTGTTGCAGTAGGCAATGATGCTAGAATGATACGAATTAGTCGCTGATTCGCCCGTTCGCGATGGAATCAATGGCTGTTTGTTCGCATTGATTTGCATCGATGATGATGATTGATAATCCGAGACCTACCTCTTAGAAGCATTGCTGACCGGAATCCGTTCCCTTTCGAGATCCTCGCGCAGGCGGTTGTTGAGTTCCGTCAATCGTCTCAGCTTGAGGTCGGCCATCGACTGCTTGTTCTTCTTGATCTGCGACGGGTCGCCGACATCGCGGGAGGTGTATTGAGGCATTGCTGTCGCGGATCGGGGGGCTGGAGACTTTGATGAAGAAGGTGTCGCGGAGGATGAGGCGACGGCGGCGGCGACAGAGGGTTCAGCGGCGGCGGGTTGTCGTCGTGATTGTTTGTCGTCGGAACGAGGCTGTTGGACCTGATCCTGCCGCTGGCGAGAGGTGGGAGAAGTGGCTGTGGTGGCTACAGCAGATGATTCGGCGGTGGTAGGAGAGGTGGTGGTGGTGTTGTGAGAAGAGCGTTCCTGATGAGAGAGCATATCGTGTCAGTTTGATTAAAGTTTCCCTCTTTTGACTCCGCTTTGGCGGTGGTTGCCGCGTTTTCCCACCACCCCGTGGTACGAGCTCAGGATCGGAAGCGGGATGGGGAGGATTTAAATGGCCAGTAGGGGGGCGAAAAAACTCACAGCAGCGAGAACCGCGGGGGAATTGAGAGAGTGATCAAGGCCGGTTTCGATCGAAGCGAATCGACAAAGGAAAGAACGTCGGGGGTGATTGGATTTGGGGGGGAGGATTACGAGTGTTGGAAGAGATGGGTAGGTTGGTTGCTCGGATAATGGGTTGGGATTTGGAAAAGCAAAGGAGAGGACGGGACGGGCGACGGGGAAGGAGGAGGGAGTGAGTGGAAGGAAAGGTAGAGGTAGAGGTAGAGGTAGAGGTAGGTAGGTGCAGGCAAGCCGCAGGTGCAGTTGGGAATTGGGAATTGAGTAGGTGAGAGAGAGGACGGGAGGGAAGTCACGTACTGCTAGTGTCTGGGAGACGGGCTGGGACTGGGAATTGGGACTGTGGACTGGGACTAGGAAAGCTGGGATTGGATTGGATTGCGGAGCCCCTTGGGAAAGGTTCCCCTAACGTGAAAGGAAAGGTCAAAGGTCAATGGACCCAAGGTTACCTTCTTGCGCTAGGGCCACCAGGTGCGCCATGGAAGCAACGACCGCCCCGTCCCTGGAGGGTACCGAGCCGCATTGCATCTTTGCTGTACGGAGTACCGCGCGCGGATTTTTATGGAGCGAACCGAAGCGAGAGTACTTGCCAGCTGCTGCCAGACCATCACAGGTTTACATCCTGGGGTCTACTGCACAGTACCTGTGTGTGCTTGTGTGCATGTTTGCGCATTTGTACAGGCTGCATGCTGCACTGCTGCAGGTCAAGTGCGTTTGCGTTGCTGTTGGCAGCACCCTCCCCCGGGTGGAGTGTGGTACCTGACAGTGTGTTCCAAGCGGTTAAAGGTACATCCACTTTCTTCTCCTTAGTCATCATTGTGGCTTTTGGATTGGACAGCGGACGGGTCGGCAAGGGTGGGTGACTGGACCCGGCGCCGGCGGGGGTGTTCGCTGAGGTTCCAGTCGCCTCACAAGAAATGCTGAAATTGTACGTAGAGAAGCGACTTGGCGCACGGGCCCCATCTGTTGTAGACCAGCATTGGCGGGATTGGTTGGAAATTGGCCGGAGCGGGCAATCTCCCATATTTGGGTTTCCCCTAGTTGGCCGGTACCCCGATTGCGCCCATAGAACACGGATACAGTCATGACGACGAGCACAAGACGCGACACCACGACTGTACAGAGTACTCCAAGTCGCAGCATGTGGTGTAGGTAGGTTGATGACGATGAATGAGCTGCACATCTTGGGCATCAGGTGTGGCGAACCCAACATTTGACCTTCGTTTTTCTCCCCTTTCTTTTGCGATTCCCGTGCCCAACTGCCATACCAAGACCCGGCATCTCGATCAGACTTTGACTCTGCACTGCCGACTCTTACACAGAAGTCTCCCATATATCGTGCGGCACTCTCTAGCCGGCTCGCCTCGATGCCGAAGCCAATAGATGTCGCGAAGTTTTCACGAGGACCGTCGTATGTATGATAGGGTGTCAACGACATTTTTGCTTTTAACATTGAGACGTGCCATGGAACTCTACCTCATGACGTTTTCAGTTGGGCTGACGACCCTTGGCCCTCCGGCCAGACAAAGAACGGAGAGCTGCCGAGGGGCTAGCTGAAAGAACACGCTCATGAGAGATGCCCACGGCGCCATGCTCTATATCGGGAATATTCATAAGAGATGTACCGATTAATATCGGTCCTTTTCTCGTCTTGTCCAACGCGAATTCTTTGCCAGCTTACCCGAAGTGACGACACGCTTATACTTACGCAGAAGATACTCGTAACTTACAAGCCTGTCCGAGGAAGTTATCCATACTGCTGCCCTACCCGTTCACGAATGTATAATTATGCACATGTCCCCTGTGCCTGCAAGTTGGAAGTGAGGAGATACGATTCAAGATCGGTGATTCTCGATCTTCCCGCTCTGCCGAAAAGAAATGTGTGAAGTCGCCATCTACCTCGGTCTCGGTGGAGCACAACGGGAGCATGCCCCCGTCCGTATCCGGGATTAAAGAAAGTTCGGGGAGGCTTTTGACTAGAAACCGACAAGGCTGGCAAATAAGTCTGAAAATCACGGTTGGGACCTATCAAGTGAAGTGACGGGAAGGAAGGTTTCGAAGAGACTTAGCGCAACGGAGAGCGCAATGTTCACTCGAATTGGACATCATCTCAACAGTGTAATCGGCGACTTCGTTCCCGTGACGGAATTGAGCCATGGGACAACAAATGACATCGGAGGTACCTCAGTCCTAGCCTGCCCAATAATTTGGGACGGGACGACAGCAGTGAACTGAGGGACGGGAAGGTGCAGCAAACCTTCAGTGGTAAATCAGTCAGCCTCGGCTGACATAATCTCTTATCACGTGATATCCGTTTCGCACAACGCACGGACGTTCGGAGCCCCTCAGGACTCGCATAGCGGCCACACACGAAATTGAAAAATTCGTCTTTGCTGTCTGTGTATAGCATCAACGCCAACGCACCGAGCGACAGCCAAGTCAATATCTCGCTCGCACGAAAAGGCTTGCGCTGCAACTCCTCAAACCAAGGACCCTCTCGAGAATAGTATTTTCCCGCAGAGGAGGTTGCCCATCATGGTGAGTTCCTCTGTTCGCTTTCTCAACCTCTGGGCCCGCCTGCCCAAAAATTTCCTACATGGATTTGACGCTACCCCTCTCCGACCTTGCTATCACGGGGCGTCATCTTGCTTGCTGCTGTTGTCGAACTGAAGTACTGACAAGAAGCCATAGCCTCCTCCACCTCACCAGAAGCCGGAGAACGTCCTCAAGCGTGCTCACGAGCTCATCGGCGTCAACCAAGTCCCGGCCGCCCTCACCCTCCTCCACGAGCACATCACCTCGAAGAGAAGCCGAAATGTTCCCATCGCGTCGCTGGAGCCGGTGATGCTCCTGTTGGTGGAGCTCTCCGTCGAACAGAAGAAGGGAAAGCTGGCCAAGGATGCCCTTTACCAGTACAAGAACATCAGCCAGAACACCAACATCGGCACCATCGAGGTAAGCCATCTCGCCGCCGCAGAAATGGGTTAGGGCAACCGTTGCTAACAGGGATATGCGCAGCTGGTTCTCAAGAAGTTCATCGAGCTCGCAGCCGAGAAGGTCACCGTTGCCCAGGCCAAGGCCGATGAGGTCCAGTCCAGCATCGAGGCCAACACCTCCACCACCAACGTCGACGACTTGGAGGCTAGCGAAACACCCGAGTCCATCCTCCTTGCCACCGTCTCCGGCGAGCAGTCCCGCGACCGTACCGACCGCGCCATCGTCACCCCGTGGCTCAAGTTCCTCTGGGAGGCATACCGCACCGTTCTCGACATTCTCCGCAACAATGCCCGTCTCGAGATCCTCTACCAGAGCACTGCCATGCAGGCCTTCGACTTCTGCCTGAAGTACACTCGCAAGACCGAGTTCCGCAGACTTTGCGAGCTGCTCCGCAACCATGTTCAGACTGCCGCCAAGTACTCTGCGCAGATGCACGCCATCAACCTCAGTGACCCCGACACCCTGCAGCGTCACCTGGAGACCCGTTTCCAGCAGCTCAACGTTGCCGTCGAGCTAGAGCTCTGGCAGGAGGCCTTCCGCTCCGTTGAGGACATCCACACTCTCCTCAACCTCAGCAAGCGCCCTCCCAAGAACATCATGATGGCCAACTACTACGAGAAGCTCACTCGTATTTTCCTTGTCGGCGAGAACTACCTTTTCCACGCCGCCGCCTGGTCCAGATACTACACCCTTCTCCGCCAGTCCGCCGCTGTCGTTGCCAGCGGACAAGGCAAGAAGGCTGACAACCCTCCCGCTACCGAAAACGACCTTCAGAAGGCCGCCTCTTTCGTGCTGTTGTCTGCTCTCGCCATCCCTGTCATTAGCACCACCCGCTCCCGCGGTGCCATGGTCGACTTCGATGAGTCTCGCAAGAACAAGAACGCCCGTCTTACGCACCTGCTCGGCATGGGCCAGGCCCCTACCCGTGCTGGCCTTTTCCGCGATGCCCTCGCTAAGCAGATGCTGAAGCGCGCTCGCCCTGAGATCCGCGATCTGTACAACATCCTCGAGGTCGACTTCCACCCTCTCTCCATTTGCCAGAAGATCTCCCCTATTCTCACCAAGATCGGTGACGATGCTGAGATGGAGAAGTACATCCTGCCTCTGCAGCAGGTCATCCTCACCAGACTCTTCCAGCAGCTCTCCCAGGTGTACGAGACTGTTGACTTGGCCTTTGTTGAGAAGCTTGCTCAGTTCCCCGAGCCTTTCCAGGTTACTCGCGGCACCATTGAGAAGTTCATCATGAATGGTAACAAGAAGGGTGACTTGGCCATTCGCATGGACCACGCCACCGGTGTCCTCAGCTTCGACAATGATGTCTTCTCCTCCGCCAAGGCTGCCCACGCTGGATCTTCTGCTGGCTCAGCTGAGGCCGACGGCAGCTCTGTCCAGCGTCTCCAGAGCACCCCCTCTGAGATTGTCCGCTCTCAGCTTACCCGCCTCGTTAAGTCTCTTCACACTACCTGCTTCTACATCGACCCTACATACAACCAATCCCTTGTTGCCGCAAGGGAAGCCGCTCTGGAGCGTGCCCGTGCCGGTGCCGAGCAGGAGCACCACTCCATTCTTGCAAGAAAGGAGGTCATCCACAAGCGCAAGGAGGAGGCTTCTGAGGCTCAGGCTCGTAAGGAGAGAGAGAATGCCCGCCAGAAGCGTCTTCGTGAGCAGCTGCTCCAGGAGGCCGAGGACAAGCGCCTCGCCGCCGAGCAGAGGGAGCGCGAAGAGAAGCGCATGAAGGCCGAGCGTGACCGCGTCCGCAAGGAGGAGCTGAAGAAGCAGATTGCCGACCTCAAGATTGGCAACAAGACGATCGACATCGACATGGACAACTTGGAGAACCTCGATTCCGGTGCCATTCATGCCATCAAGCTAGAGCAGCTCAAGCGTGAGAAGAACGACGTTTCAGAGAAGCTCCGCATCGTCTGGAAGCGTATCGACCACTTGGAGCGTGCCTTCCGAAAGGAGGAGGCCAAGAAGCTGCCCGAGGACTACAAGAAGCAGACGGAGCAGGACCGGGCGACCTACGAGGCTGTCAAGGCCCAGACCCTGAAGGAGGCCGAGATCAAGCACAAGGAGAGCGTCGAGCTGAAGCACCGCCTCACCCGCCTGATGCCCGAGTACGAGTCCTTCCGCGCCAACCTCCACGAGCGTCGCCGCGACGAGTTCGAGAAGCGCCGCAGAGACGCAGAGAGGGAGCTGGAGAAGCAAATCGCCGCTCGCAAGAAGGAGTACCGCGACCGCAAGCTCCGCGAGAAGCGCGAGCGCGAGGAGCAAGAGAGAGTCCTCCGCGAGGCCGAGGAGCGTGCCGCCAAAGAGAAGGAGGAGCAGGAGAGACGTGCCGAGGCCAAGAGAGCCGAGATGCAGCGCCTCAAGGAGCAGCGCGAGCAAGAGCGCCAGGAGGGTCTCGAGAAGGCTGCCCTCCAGGCGAGACGCGAGGAGGAGGCCCTGGCCCGTCGCAAGGCCGAGAGAGAGTCTCAGCGGGCCGCACCACCTTCCCGTGTTCCCGAGCGTGGCACCGATTCCGTTCCCGAGGGTCGTCGCCCGCTCAACCTGCCCGGTGCCGGAAAGTGGCGCGAGCGCGAGGCCGCCAACAAGGCCGCCTCCCCCGCCAACGCCGATGCCGCCCCTGCTGCTCGCGCTCCCCCATCCCGTGGCCCGGAGCGTTCTGAGCGCCCCGAGCGTTCTGACCGTTATGAGCGTCCTTCCGAGCGTGCTGAGCGCTCTGAGCGCCCTGAACGTTCAGAGGACCGCCCCAGTGCCGGAGGCCCGCCTCGTCTCGCCCTCGCCGGCAACAAGCCCAGCTGGCGTGAGCGTGAGGCCGCCAAGACCGCTTCTGGTGGTGGCGCGTCGTCCGACAGTGCGCCCCCGCCCCCTCGCGCCTCCGGCGACCGTGGTGGTGCCCCCCTTAACCGCGGAGGCTCCGGACGCGATGACCGTGAGAACGGCCGCCCCGACCGGACCGCCTCGCCTGCCACGCCGGCAGAGCCCCTCAAGGCTTCCGGCGCTCCCGGCAAGTGGGTTCCCCGTCACCTTCGCGACAAGGCCTAAATGTGTAGTGTCGATAAAGACACTTATCATGGCAAGAGTCACATAGGAAGGACAACGAAAATTGTGGGGGAGGAGGGGTAGATGGAAGTGAAGAGAAGTGGTTACCGCAAGTTCTGCATCGGCGTTCTAGGTTAGGCAGGAAGTTGTTTTAAAAAGGATGTAACTCTAGAAGCCCCCCCGGGAAGGATGGTTTTCTTCTCTAAAAAACCCGCTCCTTTAACAGAGGGGGCAAGCTAGAATGGAAGTAACAGATAGCCTTTAATCGTCGATCAGGACGGGGGTGAAATGTGACATGACTTTTTTTGGCATAGCTCCTGGCTGGAATTGAATTATTTTTGGCACTTATACCCGTCTCCTTCTTTTACGCTCGAATGTGTGCTGTTGGTGTTGTCGGTGGTCTACGGTGGACTAAGGTTACGATGCTGCCCAGTAAGTCGCTATCTATGGCGTGTAAGAGCATGTTAACCTCGTAGCGGTGGTCGACGCGGCAGGGAGGGCATCGGCATGGTTTGGCTCAGGCGCAGACAGCAGCTTGATCGCTTTATTGCCTAATATCCTCAACACCAGACTGTCGACTTGATGAAGGCCTCACGAACTCGTAGCGCCTAGTTCTAGCAGTGGTTTGGTTTACAGTCATCACGAAGCAGCCTCGGTTCGAGTTGCGAATGAACATGTGCGATGAAGGTCAGACTGATAGGGAGTGAGGAAGTCAAGCAAGACTAGAGGAAGACGGGAAAGGAACAGAGAATATCTCCAAAGTTCATCCTGCTGAATCGGAAGTCCCGACGTGTCCAAACCTTCAGTTGGTCTGCGTAAGTCTAGGCCTTTGAAAAGGTCCAGTTAGGGGGTAAGGTAAGCGATAATTATGGCGATCCCGACGATCTGCCCAGAGCCTCGTCAGGGGTGACTACCCTACATCTGCTCAGGAGGGGTCGGCATCGCGCCGGACTCCGCATTCGCATCGAACAGATCTCGGAGGATTCTAGGAGATCCACGGGACGCCGCGGGTTTCCTTGGCTGAGCCGTCGTCGGTCTCCCGTCGATACGAGATTCAGCTTTGCCCCCTCCAAGGTGGAGTTTGAGGATCAAAGCCTGTGGAGTAACTTGGTGAGAAGCCATCACGGGGTTTAGATCCAACACGAAGACGATACCGAGAGCCGAAGAGGTGGCCTTGGCATCCACGGTGTGGCGCCGGCGACCATCAGCGTTGTTGAAGAACTCAGGAAGCCGTTTTGGCTGGGCGCAGATTTTCGACCGAGCAACCATTATCCTCAGTTGATGGGCGGTCGGACTTTTGCAGACTAAACAGTCTAAAGCTGGCTTTCTTAGCTTAGCTTCCCTTGGAAAGGGGTGTTCGTTAGCCCATATTCTCAGGTGGGCATGGTTCAGTTGCATTGGCATTTGGGTCGGCGCCGTCGACGGGAGAATGGGGCGCAGCTCTCTCCTTCCAACGTCCTAGATCTCTACTTGTAAGAACTGCGAAGAGGTTATCAATAAGCTTATTGATTGTACAAAGGAGCCGTTGCCTCGGGAGAACCCTGTATTGCGACTCCAGTCTGTGGCCTGTATGGGGTAACAGAACGAGGAAGAGTCGAGCTGCTGGCGTAGACGATTCGTTACTTTTCTCGACCGCTTACACTGGAATGTCTAGACACCGTGGGTCTTTGGTCAGTCAGTCGAACAGAGGGCGCTTTCATCCCAAGTTTGCAGTCCCTGCAACAAAAAATATGGGAGCTGAACAGAGAGTTGATGTGACTAACAGCGCAGACCACTGAGGTAGGGCCACTATCATTTTGTCGACAATTACTTCGGTCAGTGGCTCGTTGAGTCATTCAACATCAGATGCAAACACAGAAACCCAATTACTCGTTTGCAATAAGGTGTTGTCTTCTGGTACGGCCGTTGGAAGGCTGATTTGATGTTTCCACTTCGGATTCGCTGCTCACTCGTATTCCGTGTTGACTTTGCATTGGAGGGTCCGACTGTGCTCACCTGCAGTTGAGAGGTCTGTGTCTCGTCGTTCATCGCCAGCAAGGCTGTCAGGCCTGCCGTCATAAACCGCGCGATGAACGACTCGAGCAAGGTGGAGGAGGCAGCCGACCCCTGTTGGCGGGAGTGCCCTTGATCTGCGGTCCTCCATCTCAAGCACCACTACTGCGTATATTGGATCAAGACCACCCCGCATACGATCGACAGCTGAAGTGTCCGAGATGCAGTTGTTTATACGCACCGACGCCGGAGACCCGAGACCTCGGAAGGGAGAAGGGATACGAACCACGGAACATGAAGTTTGCGCGGGCAGATGCCAGAGCATATTTCGGGATTTTCGTCCGAGGTTCATGGTGTTTTCGTGTAAAAGCCGGGAACATTGCATCGATGTTCAATATTTTGTCCGAGCGGGTGCATGTTACGAGGCCCTGCAGCAATTGCCCTGTGCTCTGAGACGGTGCCCACTGCCAGCGGCTGAATTGTTGTCGACTGTAGAAGCAAAACAAAAGAAAACTGACGGAGGGTCCTATCAAGGCCCTAGTCAGTGTCTTTAGTCAACCGGGGGTGGACTTCAATATTGCAACCCGACTGCATTATGCATAGTTGAGAGGGGCGCAGCGAGTGGCGAGCGACTGTGCGGATCCTGACAGGCCTAGACGCACGAGCAAAAGACTGCTGGTACGATATTGGGCTTGGATTTTACGCTGCTAAGAACCTAAGAGGGTCCAGTCCACCACGGTCGTGAGTTGGAAATGAGAATGACGCTGGGACGCAGAGACGAGAAGAGAAGAGGAGAGGTCCCGGCCCGAGTCAGTGCCTCTGTCGGGTATCTTTGTGGTGAGGACAAGAAGAGTGGTCGATGATGGAGGCTTCTGGGCGTTGGGTGGTCGTTCTTGGAAGGCATTCAATGACGAAAAGATATTCTTAGCAAAAGCGAAAGCCGATTACCCCTGATCGAGATTGCTTGAAAGAGGAAGCATAATGCAAAAGCCACGTTCGACGTTGGTGGCTAATGTGTGCTTGGAAAAGGTGATTCCAAGGAGATTGAATCTGACAGCATGATAGAGACTAGGAAAGCTGGCCAGCTCAAGCTTGTTTAGGGCACTTTTGGTAAGCGGCAGATGGAATACGTAAGGTAAGGTACCTAGTGGAAGGTCAAACGCTCAAGAGACTCAGAAGTCTCCATGGGCGGGAGGCAAGGCGAAGAGGGCAAGAGGAGTATGTGTGTTCCGCACCCACACATTGGGTATCCCGCACCCATACTAGGCTCGTTCAGGCAAGTAGTGGGCAGCACGTGATTGCACCGCCGCAGCAGCCACTTCTGGCCCGGAGCCACTATTATTCCGGAAATTTCTGGAGAATGGAAGGCGCGTCCCGCCTTAGTCTCCTACACCTTCCTCTGCTGCTGCACCTTCCTCTGCTGCACCTTCCTCTGCTGCACCTTCCTCTGCTACACCTTCCTCTGCTATACCCTCTTTCCGATACTGGCTGTACGCGTTTTTCAAAACGACGACTTTAAAAATCATGATTTGCTCAGAGGAAATACGTCTCTAGAGCCCATATTTTGGCATTAGAAAAAGTACCTTTCCTATGTTGAAAATAGTTAGAAAATGAGGTGTTTGGGCAAGGGAAATACGCATCTAAATAGAAGCAAAAACAATAGGAAGGCGCGCCGAGAGCGCAGCACGTGACTGCCGTTCGGCAATGTAATCACGTGCTGCCCACCACTTGCCTGAACGAGCCTAGTATGGGTGCGGGATACCCAACGTGTGGGTGCGGAACACACATACTCGGCAAGAGGGCGAGATGAGATTAGCGAGTACGGCTATTCCGCACCCACATGAAGGCTATCCCGCACCCATACTAGGCCTATTTAAGCAAGTAATGGGCTGCACGTGACTGCACGTGACTGCACCGCCGAAAAGCAGTCACACGTTAGGCCAGGGCGCGCCTTCCTTCCTGTTGTTCCTGTTTCGACGCGTCTTTTCTATCTAATACCTCCTTTTTTAGTTACTTTTGAAGCAGGATAGGTACCTTTTTGAGCACTAAAATATGAGCTCTAAAGAAGTATTTCCCCTGAGCAAAGACTGGCTTCTGAAGTCGTGGTTCTGACTCCGAAAAGCGCGCATAGGCGGCATTGTAAAAGAGGGCAAAGTGGAAGGTGCAGCAGGCAGTGGAAGGTACAGCAGTGGAAGGTGCAGCAGTGGAAGGTGCAGCAGTGGAAGGTGCGCCTTCCAATCCTCTCGAAACTGCCGGAATAATAGAAATTCCGGGTCAAATGTGGCTGCTGCGGCGGTGCAGTCACGTGCAGCCCATTATTTGCTTGAGTAGGCCTAGTATGGGTGCGGGATAGCCTTCGTGTGGGTGCGGAATAGCCGTACTCAGATTAGCAGTCAAGGAGAAAGCGGCCTAATGCAGGTACGGACTTTGGAAGCACCCCTGTTCGCCTGTCGGACGGGATGAACTGGGATCAAACTGAGCTTAACACTCGCTGTAGCCAATAAGACTGAGCCCCTGGCCCGGGTATGGGGCCGTTATCCTTCCCGATTGGGAGGCCCCCTGGTTCTTGCCTGGGCTGCCCGGTTTTTGTTTTGTTTCCTTCCTCGCGACTCTCTTTTTAGTCTTTGTGTGTTTTAGCCCTGGAAACTGCACCTAAGGACCTACCTTAGATATGGTATGGTATCCATGAATCCAATCCTCCCACCGTCATCCGACGACTTCCGCCGATCCAAAAGGAGTCTGGTCTCTTCCTTCACTTTTCAGCTCTAATCCACTTCTGGCGTGGGCTACCTTTGCTCGGACTCCTCGACTTTGCCCTTTTGCACCTGTCCGGCCCCAACTGGGCGGGTAATCCAACATCAGAGCATCTCGGCCCTTGCCTCTTGACCCAAAGAAGCATGGCATTCGCTGACTTAGGTCCGTAGACCTGACTACTGGCGCAGGTGAGGATACACCGACCGCCGCCCCCCTAACGTTGCTGTCTAAACTTGTATCCCTCTTCCCCTCGAGGCGCCGCCCACTTCTGTCACCTTGCCGAGTCTATTCTAGCTTTTCACGACCTGGCATCACGGGCTCGATGTGACCGTCCCCGTCACCGTGGCTTCCGTGAAAGACGTGTATGCAAACCAACAGTTCCAAACAATGTCTGCCAAGGCACCGTTCACGCTGGGTAACTTCCATGCTTTACTCTAAATATCACACTAATTCTAGTCGTGGCGCTTTGCCCCCGTCCAACCTGACACCACTCTATCGGCCGCTACTCGCATCACCCGTTGAGTTTGTTCCCCTGATTGTGACTCTGCCGGCCGGGATGTCTATCAATCAATCTTGAGCTGCCCGATATGATCAAATTTCACTATATATGATGGGCCTCGATGCCTCTCATCCCCGTCTTTCTTCCAGCTCATCACTCACAACCCAATCTGGGAAGACATTCGCTCGCTCTTGCACACTCGTTTCTTGCAAAGAGATATTACATTCTTTCTAATAACTAATACACACCATCGTTCATAATGGCTCCCATCATCCGGGCCCTGGCTGCTCTCGCAGCTGCCACCCTCTTTAACCAGGTCACCGCGACCACCACCGAGCTGCCGCCTTGCCTCGACGAGTTCCAACCCTTCACCTACCAGGGATGTTTTCAGGAGAAGGGCACCAAGGGCGAGAATGCCCTTGATTTTCGCTCCAGCCTCAACCAGCAGAACATGACCATCGAGACATGTGTCGATGCCTGCAAAGGTAAGCCGTCCTGACCAGCTTGATATTTGACACGAAAGCCTAACACGATGACAGGTAATGGATACCGCTACGCCGGTCTCACCTACTACGGCGTCTGCTACTGCAGCGCTACCATCAACAGCCCTACCCTCGACGAGTCTGTTTGCAACTACAAGTGCACTGGCAACAGCTCCGAGACCTGCGGTGGTCCCTCGGCTTTCTCTGTCTGGCAAGATCCCACGTTCCCCTCTGGCGGTGCCACCGTCGACGACTACACCTCCATTGGCTGCTACACCGACGACACCAACCATGGCCGCACCATTGCTGAGCGCCAGGACTCTGTTGACTCTGCCACCATGACTCCCTCCACCTGTCTCGCCGCTTGTGCCAGCGAGGGATACGCCTTTGCCGGTGTTGAGTACGGTGGTGAGTGCTACTGCGGTGTCGTGATGGGCAACTACACCACCGCCACTACCATGGACAAGTGCAACAAGCCTTGCAACGGCGACAGCACCAAGAACTGCGGTGGCTCTGCCGTCATGGAGATCTACGTCGCCAGCAAGCTCAAGTCTCTTGAGCCCTGCGGATACGTCCCTCCCGTCAACTCGGTCTCGTCTTCATCCACCATCTCCATCAGCACTTCGGCCACTATCCCATCCATCAGCATTCCTCCCACTACCTCCACCACCTCGACCACCATCTCTACCCAGGCTCCTCCCTCCACTACCTCTACCACCTCTACCACCATCTCTACCCAGGCTCCTCCCTCCACCACCACTGCTCCTGTTACCACTTCTCAGCCTCCCGTGACCACGTCTAAGCCTCCCACTACCATTGCGACCACCACTGCTCCCGCTGTCTGCACTACCACCATTGTCACTCCCGCCACTTGCGAGTACGGCTGCGGTAGCTGGTGCAACAAGAACCTCCCCGACTTTGACGACAACGACAGCTGCACCAAGGCCCACAACAGCTGCAAGCTTCAGGTCAGTGCCTGCCTGAAGAACGCTGGATGGCCCGGCTCTGCCAGCTGCATGGACTTCAAGGCCTGGTGCAGCGATGTCAGCAGCTACTGCTCCAGCTCTTGCAAGGGCAAGGGATCCTGCTCCAAGAAGGACTGCTTCGCCAAGAAGGCTCCCAAGGGTTACAAGCCCGGTACCACTTCCGTGTCTACCTTCCCTTGCCCCTCCAAGCCCACCACGACCTCCACCCCGGTCACCGTCGTCCCTCCTCCTCCTACCGGTGTCTGCAAGCAGCCTTCCAGCTGGTGGTTCGGATACGGCCCTGGCAACCCTGTCGGTGGTATCGAGATCCCCATCGTTACCTGCAATGACATTGCCGTCGACTTCAAGGCTGGTAACCAGTTCAAGCTCTACCTCCAGGCCGACACCAAGCTCTGCAAGTCCTTTGGCCGCGGAAGCGTCGCCAGCGTCTGCCAGGATGCCTGCAAGGAGCAGTACAACGCTTGCCAGAACACCTACGCCCAGGGCTGCAAGACCTGGAACAACCGCCGCGGCCGTCGCGACGATGCTGCCGTCTACGCTCGCGCTCCCGACTTCGCCAAGCGCTGGTTTTTCTCGGACAACTTCAGCGTCGCCATTAACAAGTGCACTGTCCAATACACCGACTGCCTTTCTGAGAACCGCAACTCCTATGCGGCCAGCAAGTGCGGTTCTTTCGGCACTGGCTACTAGAGAGCTTGCTTGGCTCGCTCTCTCGGGGATGATGCTCACGAGTAGATGTGATGGATGGGGAGTTTGATTTTTCCACTTTAAAAAGGCATTGGCGGCAACTTTACACTCTTTAGATGGTTGAAACCTTATCGGTATTTAATGGCTAGTCTTCTCAATATAATCGGGCTTCGGCTCATGTTCATACTCATATTTGCTCATGATGCTTTTGGAAATTTGATGGAAACGACAGTGACAGAGACAATGAGCTGTGACACTTTGCTACGCCGTACCCCTATGGGAGTCCGTCCCCCAAAGACTGTATCACCATCCCGACCACGCTTCCCTTCACTACCACGAATACCGACTTATGTCACTTCCGTGAAATTTTTTGGTGTTGAGGAAGACTACATTGGGTTCTTCTAGGCCTCCCCCTTATTCTGACCGAGGTAAGCGCGTGGTAAGGTAAGTTGACTAGGAACTAAATCTTGCGCTTGAGATAGGAGCCAGTGAGCTTGTGGCGTGATACTAAAACCGGGGTAAATTGGATACTAATGAACTTCCGAGGTAAAGTACTTAATCCAGGTGGTCTTGATTATAATATTTGAAATCCAGCACTCGAGAAAGCAGTAATCAATAAGTGCGGATCGAAAACCTGGGAACTGGGAAATAAGGAAAACTGTTTCCCGGTATAAGCTTGAACAATGAGGTGAGGTCAGACACGATCCGCCCACTGGACTGCCTACCCTAGGAAGGAGAGATTGATGAGGGCTCGTGCGGCTTCGCCGATGCATCGCATAGCTCGCCAGCATGGCCAAGTGGTAAGGCATCGCACTTGTAATGCGGGGATCCTGTGTTCGATCCACAGTGTTGGCACTGCACGGAAGTTGATCATTATCATCAATCGTTCTTTTTGATTTTCTTCCATATCGTGTAATTTTCTTTTGTGTTTGGTTTATGGATCTGCAAGGGATGGGGGGGTGTCGTTCGATGTTTTTAGTTCAAGGATTGTATTCTTGTCTTTGAGTTTGGAGGTGATGGAGGTAGGTAGGGTAGTATTGGGGTTGCTGGGAAGTTTGAGTTGGATGTCATGTGAGGGGCGAGAGGTTGATTAGGTGGCAGGCAGGGGACCTTGCTGGGCAGGACCATGGCTGGCTGTAGGACTCGCAACCATAACTGCGGATGAGGGCAAAGACACGCGAGGTTTCTTTCTATGATCATGTCTCGGTATTGAGAATTTCCTGCTGAGGTTGGTGCTATCGTAGATGACCTGTCTGAGTTGCTTCAGTGATACCTCAAACAACATAATATGTCTCGTGGGCCGGGGGTTTCTTTTTCCTTCTCATAGTTCGGGGACAGTGGCCTGACGTTTCTCAGGAACATTGGGTGAGGCGCGATTTTGGTTTCAAGTTGAATTCTTGAAAGGATGAAGATCAATCAAGTGCTCGATTTTTCAAGGGAGGATTTGGAGATACCCAGTTGTTACCGTCAGTATAAAGGAATACTGTCATGTTGGACCGGAAGTTTTTACATGTCCTAAACCACGACGGCGGAGTGGTATGCCAGGTTGCGTCTTACGAGCGAGTAACACCACACGACATCACTGCAAGCTTGGGACACATCTACATCTCACAACATCATAGGAACATGTGGTGCACACCGAAGACCCGGGTATGGGCGGCTGCGAGCTTGCGGAATGGTAGCGTTCCTCGAGTCGACGAAAGTCCTAATTGGGATTGAGTTCGCCGTCTTCCCCAGCTTTGTGGAGCTTCGCGCTCAGATGGTATTGGCCGTCATCGGGTAGCCACCGAGGAGGCTTGGCTCGCATCTCGCGGCGGGGTGAATACGGTGTGCGTGTGTGTGCTTCGACACCGAGAGCTGGGTTTCAAGAGCTGGGAGGTCAGGGCAGAGAGGGGCACCGAGCCCCCTCGTTGACCATGTCGAGCCTGCCCCGCACAATGTCATGCTCTCTTGGGATTTTTATGGAGGGGGAACAGGCGATGTCGGTTGAACTGTTGGCAGCAGCGGCAGCGACGACAAGCGACAACGACAGCGGCAGCGAATACGGATGAGAGAGTTCGGTGCTCGGTTTGGTTTCCGTTTCGGAGCCGGGGGTGCCGGCTGGCACAAGATAAGGGACGATTGGTTGCCTTACGAAGAGGATGTGCCGAGGATCCCGCCCCTCCTTCATGATTGTTCTTTCTCACAATGGTCCTCACTTTCTCGGTTTTCGCGCAAGCAGCATAGACCTGGAGATTGTGTTATGCTAGAGCGAAGTTTGGACGGGTCGAATGATGCTGGAGACCATTCGGCACCGGAGACCGGGACCTCAGATTGGCCGAAGCCGTCGAGACCGCGAGCTAACAAGGTGAACCAAGGTTTGGGCGGCGTGATGGGCAAAAAGTGAGGTAAGAGGGTACATGATGAGGTACCTAAAGTGAGGGGGGGGGAAAGAGGCCGGCGCGTCTAGAACCCTAAACACGGCAGGTTGTTCACACTGAAATTGGCAGGCACGGCACACAAAATTGGAGGTCGGAAGAATTGCTAAGCGAGCCGGGAACGCAGAGCGATGATCTCACACCAAAACTGCCCTTTGCTGGGTGGAAAAGAAAGAAAGACAGTGCCCTTTCCCCCCCTTCTACAGGGCTCAGCGCTCTGCTCCCAGCGTGTGCAATGCCCGTGCTGAAGCCATTTCCGGGCTGCCATTGGGTGAAGGGAGCACAGCGTGCCCTTTCTGCCTGACCTAATTTGCTCTGTGCTTTCCCGTCGCTTCCCTCTCTTGCGCTGTGTGTGGTGCTGTGATTTGTCCCGCCCGGAACCCCAGTGGCCCCATCGTGCGCAGTTTCTTCACCTCAGGTCCCATCCGTAACATCACCAGAGCACCGGCACCAATTGGTCCCATACCCCCCCATTGAGCATCACCACCACCGCCAGGTCATGGTGTTCTAACCTTGTCTCTTACCCCAATCATCATCCTAGACTAGGTCGCTATTGTACACCACAATCCAGGCGACAAGATGTCGGTCGCAAGCAAGGTAAGCTGAACCTCTGTCTCTATTCTCGATGTCGTTTTGCGTTTTATTTTGGTGCGAGTTGTTTGTCGACGGAGTTGTTGTGTGTTTGTGCGTCGACCTCGTCGGCCTCGTCATTCCCCTTGTTGGCGGCCTCCTTCTCGATGTTGTTTTGCTCGACTTTTTTTTTCCTGGCTTCGCTCCTGCCATACATGCCCTTGGGCTCCAAAGACAATGAAAACTAACAAACGTACCTGTATAGAACCTGTTCGAGCTCCTCGGTATGCGTCTCCCGAATGAACGAACCGACAAGTTGTACCTCTGAGCCAATGCCCTAACTTCCCACAACAGGCAACGATGCCGAGGATGACACTCCTCAGGCGCCCGTGAAGACGGTTGAGAAGAACTCTCTGCGCTCAACCAAGCGCGGCGTCGAGCCCGAGGCCCCTTCCCGTGCCCCCGCTGCCGGTGGTGCCCGTCGCAACAACGCCTCTGGCAACGAGGCTGGTGAGTCTGCTCCATCATCAATTTGCAGACCTCGAGAATGCAGACCCCGCTTTAGACCTTGACCCGCTGACACGACTTCTCCCGCCCATAGCCTTCCGTGACCGCGGTGCTGGTAGCGACCGCAACCGTGGCAAGACCACCGACGAGCCTGCTAGAGGCGGCCCTCGTGGCGGCTACGGTGCCCGTGCCCGTGGAGGTTCGTGATGTCCCACTGTCCCCATGCTTCGACGTCGCATGCGTGGAGAAAGGATGGAACTATTCGCGTACTAACAAATACAATCAGGCCGTGGTGGACGTTTCCCCCGTGAGCGTGATGACCGCCAGTCTAAGGGTCTCGCCAGGTAATTTGAACCGATTCACGCATAACACTCCACGTACTTACTCGTCGCAGCGGCTCCGAGAAGCAGGCTGCCCAGTCTTGGGGCGCCACCGAGGGTGAGGCTGAGCGCAAGGACGAGGTTGCCGGCGAGGCCATTGCCCAGGCTGAGGCTAAGGACGCTGAGGCCGAGGCCGCCGCTCCCCTCGAGCCCGAGGAGCCCGAGGAGAAGCAGGTCTCCTACACCGAGTACCTTGCCCAGCTTGCCGAGAAGAAGCTCGCCATCGAGGGCAACAACAAGGTCCGCGAGGCCAACGAGGGCACCAAGCTCAAGAAGGAGTGGGCTTCCGCCAAGGAGGTCTCCCGCGATGAGGATGAGAACTTCATGATCGGCACCGGTGGCAAGACCAAGCGCGAGCGTGAGCGCAAGACCAAGCAGCTCTTGGATATCGACCAGCGTTACGTCGAGCCCGAGCGCTCTTCCCGCGGCGGTGCCGGCGGCCCCCGTGGTGGCCGTGGCGGTCCCCGTGGCGGTGCCCGCGGTGGTGACCGTGGTGACCGTGGCGGTCGCGGACGCGGCGATGGTGCCCGCGGTGCCCCCCGTGGTGGTGCCCCCCGTGGCGGCCGTCCCCAGGGCGCGCAGATCAACACTAAGGACGAGTCTGCGTTCCCCAGCCTCGGCGGAAAATAAATGCCCACCATAGGTCGCCTATATTCGCCCACATATAGGTTGAGACAAATGTGCTCCGACACATATATCCGGCTCTAGTCAACGATGGAGAACGGAAGGGAAGGACCAGTTTTCGGGGAAAATTTGCAGAAAGGATTGGTTGCGTCAAGGTTTCCGAGGACTGGGCCGGCTGATTTCTGGTCGTTGCACGATAAATGAAAGGCTTTTTTCTATCTAGGTACTTATGGACGGTATCGTTCAAAAAAGTCAAAAATGGTCTCGTTTGCATTGGTTTTTTAAAGAGAGTAAAAATGTCCCATCTACTATCGTGTGTTATTTGACGGCTGGTTATTGAAATGTTTCGATCATCCATTATGTTTGTGACAGTAAAAGGGTAATACGTATCGAGGAAGCTCTTATGCCTGTCTATCACATTCCCATGACGATATTCTTATGTTCATCAGTCGGTCTATCTTTGGTTGTAGATGGTTATCACATTGGGTAGCTTCATCCACCAACGTCGGCCTAGTAGCTCCCCGTCTGAGCTGATGGAACAGCACAGGCTTGGCTGAAAGTAAGCCCACCTGACCTCCACGCGAGGTCATCAACTTGTCGATCACTATCTTTTGGGAAAGCTCAGGGTCGTCGAATCAACTAGTGCACGCGAGAGCTCGCTTGTCTTCATACCAACGGATGTTGAAACCGGCAACGGCAGCGACAGCCTCTTACTGTGCTTACGAGTGCCTTCAACTCGGGAGAGCATGTTGTAAGTTGTAAGTAGATCCTGGAGAAGACGTTCCTTATCATTCAACAGCGTGGGAAAGCTTGAGGAGAGTCAGCCAGATAAAGGAGCGGCTTTTGTAACGGATGTAGGTGGTCCATGATACTGGATTCTGGGAGGGTTTTTGCGCGTATAGCCAATTAGGCCGCTGAGATGTCGACGACGTTTAAGGCTTTTGTTTTTTTTTGCTTTTTTTTCCCTTTTGGGGAGATGGCCAAGAGATATGAGGAGCAGCTACTCTAGGTACAACTATCAGATAAGGCTGGACATGATGTCAAATATTTGATGAACCTATTTATAGCGCTTCCGAGGCGGGGCGAAAAGTAGGTTTCTCAGACCCTTCAGGTTGTTGTTTGCCATGATGATGATGTCGGTGTTTGGGCTTCACATTCGGCGTGAAGAGTAGGGATCGTAGAACCATCCCCAAAACTCAGAAACCAGCCAGCATCAACCCATACATATAGCCCTCCACACCTCACTGCTTTGCGGCTGTGTGTTCTAGAGTGAATACGCTGCGACCTGGGGAAAAGACAACCCAGAGCAACAAGCTACTATTCGTTACCTAGTGGTGCGGGAAATGAAGCCACGAAAATGACAACTCACACCTGACGAAAGGATGATCCAGGGCGACATGCTACCATTCATTAGTGGTGCGGGTGACGAATCACGCTGTATACCAAAGAAGGAGAGCCGCAGCCTGCATTTTTGAAGACGACCAACCCGGAAATTTGGAATCTTTGAAGTTCGAACCAATGCCGGGTTAACACTTCCGCGTCCTGAACATCCATCGTGCTGGACATGGATATTTGAGGTTTCTGATACTAGCAGTCACGGGCAAGCTTGATGGCAGAATCTTTGGTTGACTAAGGAGTCGGTGTTGTCGTGTGGTGTCCCCTCTACCGGCGAGGGGGAATGGGTGCTCCTGACAATTATGGCAAACCCGTTCCTGAACTTGCACTGAAACCCTGGGCCGAGGGAATCGTTTGCCTGTACTCACCAGGGCGCGAAGCAAAGCATAAAGAGATGAGTAGAAAAGGCCATAAGTTCTGTAGGTAGCCTGTGCTTATGGTCTCAAGTGCCATGCAGTCATCCCCGAGAAAGCGTGGGTATTCGATATACAGTTGAGGCAGCGTTTGGGGCCACCTACAGCTAGGCTTATGAGTATCAAGTACCTCAGCAAACGGCAATATCATGCATAGCTCATTACATCTTTTGAAGCCATGAGGCATCCGCGTGACTTTGAAAACACCTTACTTATGATCATGGAAGTTACGGCAGATTTTCCTCGGGCGATTCCTAGGCTCGATCACATTCGCAAGGTCTGTGTATTAGCAAAAAGACTCAAGAGGCTACTGGAGGTGTTGATTTCGGGACTTCATGACGCAAATTATTGATGTGCTCCTCGTGATCCAACTTCGACCAACAAGATTGGTAGTAACGACACGCATTGGCTGAGAAAGCAAATCTGAGCTGCTATTTCCTTGAAGGTTGGAGAAGAGATACGCAATGCTACGGTGTAACTGAAGCGGCCCATCCTTCAAACTTCCGTCATCTCTGTTTTGTATTCCTCAAATATAGAGTATGAGAGAAAGGAAGATGCTACCAAGTACGCGATCTACAACGCGACGTGGCGAAGACCTTGTAACAGAATAGAGCTCTAATACAAGCTCGTAAATGGTTACGGATACGATAAAGAGACATGCCATTCAACACACAATCCCGAGAAAGAACATCGAGATCTAAAACCACAGTCCCTCGCGAATGTCATGGAGAACCCACAAAGCATCGTCTATTTCCTTAGACAAAGGACTTGGCCTACCGACGTTCCTGTTCAACACAGAAGGGGTATGTTGTACCATGACTGTGTTACCGAACATTGAAGAACGCATTTGTCCTCAACGTCTTTGATGGGCTTGTTGTAGTAGACAATTCCTGGCCCATGCGAGCATTGATGAATATATAGAAATACTTGAGAACCCCCAACCTAGATACTGTAAAAACAACTGGACTTGTCCATCATCCTCAACATATACTGGGCTCACTGACCTCTGACGGATACACTCACTTATACAGGCCCCGCTGATACCACGGTATCAAACCCCTTCGAAATGAACGCGCCTCCTTACATCCATAACTGCGACGATTCCAAAGGTCCCTGGACCGTCAGCAAGCGATGCTCACTCTGCATCCCAGCCCGCCATGACGCAGGCAAAAAGCCCGGCAAGTCCGCCGCCATCACCCACCGCCTCCGCTGCGCCACTAACAAGCTCAAACGCCGCACGCCACCCCCGTCACATTCCGTCTGCTCCGAGTGCGGCGACGAGGGCCGCACGACAGTGGCACTCACCGAACCAGACTGGAACCCAGAGCCAGAGCCAGAGTCAGAGTCATCGTCGTCCGGTTCTGCTGCTACTACTACCAGCCAACGACCAACTGACAGCATAGGTCCCATGAACGAAACCCCAGCCGACTTCGTGTACAGGCCGCTGATTCCGGGAGATCACGAGTACCGCCACGAGAAACACGCCGGAGTGGACGAGTGGTTCTGGAGCAGCGGCTCCGGGGAGAGCTACAACACCCGGTTCCCTCCCCCCTCGCTCGCAAAGAGACTGATCTACAGTTTCTGTTGCTTCTGCGTCGTCAGCATGGTGGCGCCAAAGCCCCCGAAGCTGACGGAATCAGAGCGTCGTAAGAAGGAAGAGGAGGGTTGGAACAGACTCCAGCGGGGCAAACGCCGTTCTCGCCCGTGGATCCGGATGAGCGATTGGAAGGCTATCAAGGCCGCCGAATTGGAGGAACGGCAGCGTGCAAAAGATGAGGCCGGCGAAGTCGCTGATCTCGGAACTATCGTAGAGGGGACAGTGACTGGGGACGAATGCGAATTAGTCAGATCAGGAGTCTTTGATTCGGACAGGCGTACTGCATAGCGGAACATCAGGATTCATACAAACGGAAGGTAACATTGGCAATCTGCACGAAATCAGGATTAGATACACAGCTGGGCTCATGGGAGACACCAGCATAGCAAAGGTATGTTTCTTAGATAAATAGACAGTTCACAGAAATGATAATGATACATCAAGGTAATAATACGTGTATTTCGTAAGTCATACCATCACTGCTTATCCCTGTAAAAACGAGCAGCATCAATGCCCAGACTGGTAAAGAAGAGGATGGCATTGAAGGAAGCCATCATGTAAAACGGGGCGCCATTGGACACCGCGTCGAATAAGTAGCCTCCTAGCTTGGTAAGAAGCAAAATAGCTGCTCCTCCGAACCAGGAGTACATGCCGGCGATGGAGCCCTTGAGTCGCACTCGCGACACGGCATCCACGCTAGCGTTGTGTTGTAATAGAGGCGCAGACTCTGGGGAAGTCTCCATGGTTTCTGCTGAGTCTTCGACCGTGTCGATGACCTGAGACTTGGGGATATCTGCAGTCAGAACGCCACGGCCAAGGAAGCCGAGACTGCAGACAATGGCACCGATCTGGCTGATGCCGATTAGGATCACGGTTAGGAAAATGGCAGGGCTGCCGCCTCGGCCGTCGACGTTCTTGTATTCCGGGCTCTGCAACTGTGGCAGAATAATGTAGCCAACGATACCGAAGGCAGTGGCAAGGAGAATGGGGTAGTTGACACGACCGCGTCTTCTGTTGAAATATCCGAACGCAGGCGCAGCAAAGAGACCAAACAGCTGAGCTACGCCAGTCAGGATTGACGAAAGCAGATAGGCGGCCCGGCACTCCTTCTTCAGCTCTGGCGAGGGGTCATGCGGGGAGCCCTGGCAGAAGCCGTTGCTGATATAGTAGGTGTTGATGTAAAGGGGGATGAAGAGCGAAATGGCAACAGTGGATGCGCGAGCCACAAAGCCGCCCAGGTATCCCAGAGCGATCTGAGAATCCGTGAAACCGAGAGTTACGGAGTCGCGCAGGAGGCGGAAGTATGGAAGCACCTTCTGTAAAACGTCAGCAATTTCTCCAGAAACATTTACGAGGTAACGTACCGGCCGGGTTGGGTGGTCTGCCCTGTTGTCGTCAGACTCGTCTTCCGAGTCCGAGTTCGTCTTCAGACCCAATAGAGTACTCCAGCCCTTGCCTTCCTCGCCCTTGAGGTTTCTCAACCCAAAGAAAACGAAGACCGAGATCACAAACGCCACAATTCCCACCACATAGAAGCTGTCGGCGACAGCCGTAGCAGGTGTGATGCCGTCAATCTCACCAAATCGGGCGGGAAGCGGGAGGAACAGGGAGAGCGCGACCAGCGCGCCGCATCCTGTGAATAGCCCAACGTAGCCCGCCAATGACGAAGGCCTTCCAGCCTTTGCCTCCTCTCTCTCACTCGCTGTCGCAGTTTGTCCGTCTCCGCCGAAACCATGGAAGCGCGCCGGGGTGATAGTCATGTCGGATTCGAGGGACATGGCCACACTGTTGCGAGGATTATGCGTCGGTTTGTTCGCAGCGTCAGCGGAGCTGTCTGAATTGTCGCCATCGTCCGTCAATGAAGGCAGAATGGCCGTTACCATGGTGGCGCTGAGGGAAGCATATTAGCACATGTTGCCTGCTCTCGCTTTCTGTTTGTCACTTACGACGCTGTGGCGCCAATGGCAAAGAAGATGCGTGCCAGAAGTAGCTGCGGGTAGACATTCTTCGCCTGAACGAAAAGAAGCAATGCTGCGCCGATGACGGCATACCCGATGACAGCCACCCATCTCACACCGAGCCGATCCGAGACGAGACCCCAGACCGGACATGCGACAAGGGCAACGAGCTCGTCTACGAAGCCGAGAGTGCCGACAATGTCGCCAACGCCATCCTTGACGCCAATTAGGTCGGTAATAACGAAGGATATGCTGCTGTTGAGGAAGACGAGGAAGGAAATAGAGAAGAGAGATATGCCGAGAAGGTATGTCACTGCTTGCAGCGTAGTAGTTGCCTCGGAGAAGGGCAGATATCGGGAGAGAACGGCCATGATGGAAAAGTCGAGCGCCGTGGTATTTGGTCGGGCGATTGAGTTGATTCTCGGTTATTTGCCGCAGACCACCGTTCAGCTCCAAGCTTACATCTCGCGGTGGGCGGAGGAGATGCTAGGAACGTCGGGCGGTTTCGTTTGTTGTTGTTGATCACAAGGGAGAAACGTGAATTAAGGTAAGAAGTGGGTGGGTAGCTGCGCACCTGCTGGTAGTGAGTGCCGGTGCGGGACGTCGGGTGAGCATCATACACCTGAATTGACCTGAGCTCCCTGCTCTAAACTCCGGTCGAGCCGCCTTACATAAGCCCCTTAATGACAGTCCAGAACGACGACCTTGCAATGACCGCCTCATTATGACCGGTACACGCCCGTCCGGACACCCGCTACAGTGCGGACTCCGTGGCCGCCGACGTCGACAATTCTGGTCAGTAAAGTGCATGTTACGTTTAGGTTTACGAAGCTCCCTCAGCTCCAGAATTTGAGAGTGTTTGGCAATCGCCTCGGATTTACGGATACTTCGATACGTTTTCTCACAATACCTCAAAAAGTTCAACTCCGGAAAGTAGTCTTTCGTTTTGACACCAAACGCCATTGGCTGCTAGACGTTCCTTACGACTTTTGCCTCCATAAATGCCAGTTCCCGAGTGCCATTGTTCATTCCCCGACTCCGTTGCTTTCTCGTGATCGCATCCTCCGTTAAGATATTCTGCCGTTGTCCTTCCAATCTACCATGACCAGAGCACCTTGTGGTGCAGCACGCGAGCCCCCAGTCGTTCGAATTCGAACGGCGTGACCCAAGAGTCGTTGGCCGGGAGTTTGGCGAAAACGCTAGCTCCCTTCCAGGTCACAACCTGCTCGTCCATATCCCTGGCACTTCGACTGACCAAAATGCGATCGAAGAGATCAGGTCGCCGTGCCTTGAGCTTCTCCTCTAGCACAACTGTGAATTGGGGCGTCTTCGAACCACCTCCAATGACCATGATACTGCCCAGGTAATCACGCAGCTTCTTGTCGTCACCCTTGGCTGCGTTGTAAATGCTGGTCAGAATAGCAAGATCCAACGGTGCAGTGGGCAGAACGCCGTCGCGTTCAACTGCTATGGCCTTGGCGCTGCGCGCAGAGGCGTCAACGAACATGCCCGGGGGCGGCTGTGGAACAGCTGTGCCGTTCGGGCCCGGCGTACCGCCATTCCTCACAGGGGGGGCGGGGCTTCCTCCGTTAACGCCCTCCTTGCTTCCGCCGAACACGAAAGGAGCTGGCACAGGCGTGCTGACACCCTCCGGCGCTGGCGATGGAGCATTGGACCCAGATGGAGTGCCGTTGATGCCGTTCTCGCCCCGCTTCAAGAAGTCAAACGGCTGTAGTCTTTCCTTGACCGGCGTCGATACATCGTTCTGCGATTGGGTAAAGCCATTGGTAGGCGCGGAATTTAATGATGGCTTGACGAGAGCCAAGATTCCAAACTGGGCTGCTGATGTCGGATCGTCGGGGATATCCACGTCGTATGCATTGTATGATCGGTCAAGCAACTTCCTCCGGCCTCTTATCTTGGTGCTATTGTCGAAGATGGCCGGATCATAGAAGCCCATGGGAGCCAGAATGACCTCGTCATACGTCTTGAATTGGTACTTGTGGGTCGGTTGGTTTGGAGCTCGCAGATGGAACTGATATAACTGGACAGAGATGTCCGCTTGCGCCATCGTGCAGTGCTTCATCTTGAGCTCCTCAGCCAGGAGAAAGTCATGTCGCCTCCTAAGATTGATGTCTTGATAGGGGAAGTTGTCGTAGAGGAGCATCTTGACAAAAGTCTCCGTCACATCGTAACCGCCGTACTTCAAGTTGATGCGAGAGTCTTCAACGCAAAGGCCATCTTCAACGCAGGTGATCGATGTCTTTTGCGCTCCCACATCAACGACGCAGGCCTGAGTGTAGCCTGCACCGAACGTAGCAGCCATGCCTTCCTGAATGAAACATACCCGGTTGAACTCGAACCATGTCATGCAAGATCGAAGCACCTGCTCCACGTACTTCTTGTCGTAGAGATCTGGGATGACGAAGACGCAGCTGTACTGTCTCCAGGTGCTGTTCTTGGTCAGGCCAAGCTCCTGCCTGATTGCCTTGTCGAGGAGGGTTTCTAGATCGTCAAACATGTGTTCAGCGTTCAGGTACTCATCCTCGTTCATGTATCCATGCTGAATGGGCCACCAGAGCTTGAATTTAGGTTGAGAATCGTCTGGCACTCTTTGCGCTTGATGCCCGATGAAACAAGACGCGGATGATTTGGGGTCGTCGAGATTGTTGACATCGGTCCAGTCGATTTGTAAAGGGTCGTTGTGTGTTTGAATAATTTCGGGCTCAGTCCGGCGGTTATAGTTCAAGACAAGTTCCTTGGAGTTGGGTAGAACTTTGCGCTTGTTTGCGCGCATCTCCAACTTGAGATCGCTGCACATTTTGGTGTACTTCTTTGACCACTCCTCGCCGTATTGTTGGTCTTGTGTCTTTGCTTCGAATTGGCGCCGGGGGAGCGCTTCGTGCATTTCCGCCTCGGTCTGAGGGAACTTTGTCGCAAGTGTCATGGGGATGGACTTTGGAAGTGCGTCGCTGGCGAACCCAATTCGGAGGTTTTGACTGCCAGGGTGAATGACGATAACTTTGGAAGGATCGAGGCCGGCATTGGCATCGGCAGGTGCTTCGTCAGGCTGAAGTTCGGGTATAACGAGAGGGACCTCGGCGCGCCCACTTTGCGCAAGAGCACGATCTCTGTCCTTAGCAGCTTGAACGATCCTGTCGCGGGTGGCGTCGCCTTGAAGTCGCAAAGCGAGAATCTGATCATCGCGCTTCATATAATCCCTGTTGGACGAGGAATTGTCAGCATCGCCGCAATGGAGATAACGCAAGGTAGTCTGTTTTCGAAAACATACGTGTAGTAGTTCTTCTGATTGATCGGTGTGACGTCTGGCCAGCTGGTCTGCTTCATTCCATTGTCGGTTCTCTCCAGGCCTATGGTACACGGTCAGCTTGCCGCTTTTAAGGGTGAAGGACTCCATTTCCACTTACCCTCCCGAAGGAGAACCCTCTCGCTGACTTTGCCTACCATGCTGTCGGCTTACTGCTCGGAATTGGAGCCAGAGAGCGAGCTGGCGTTGGTGTTATGGGTTTCCGAGCGGAAAGGCAGTGAGAATCGCCAGCCTCAAGGTTCGGATAGCTCTCAGCCTCCTACATGCAGCCAACCATCGCGACTGGCAGCCTGCTGGCCCGTGCAGAAAGATGTGGCTGGTGTCATTGTCTCTAGTGGAGGAACTTGGAGGCCCGTGGCTCAGCACGTAGGGGCGGGAGTATAATAATCCGAGCCAATTCTATTATATAATAATCTCAATATCGCCAGGTCCTGCCTTCTCCGCACAGTGTACGGAGTATGCCCAAAGGAACACCGTCGACACGTCGCATGTCACGTCTCGACTCTACCCTACGACATAAACACTTTCCTTGGCGCGGCACAAAGTGTGTCTGGTGGAAGCTGCTCTTTTTGACCACATTGGCACGATGTCCACCAGGCGATCCTTGTGGGATCGTTGCATTGAGCGCACAGTTGGGCACAGTTAAGGTCAAGTCAGGTCCTCAACGATACGATTCCGTTCTCTCGTCCAAAGAAGCTTAGATTCGCGACTCAGGGCGGTCCAAGCACCACGCGGTGGCAGACCATTTTGCGGCTCCAGAAGCAGCAAACCATTGGTCATGAGCTGGGTTGCTCGGACTCGGCCTTGGATGTTTGGTTGCTTGATGCTTTGCAGCTCAACTGTTGCTTGTTTTGCATGAGCGATCACTGAGTGGATGAACTTGACACGACTTCCGCCGAATCAAGATTTCAAACAACACAATTCGATACCAGCATCTCGTGGAAGCCTTGGCGAGAGCCATTCAACTTACCAATGAAGGTTTTCGCGTTGCAACTGCATTCCTTTGCCAGGATGTGAATTTTGGTAAGCGATGCTGCGTCAGGTTCTGCGACTTTCAGCAGTTTCCTCTATCGACTTTAGTGTATGGCGCCTAGTGGGCTATTGTTCACTTTCCTCTTTGTTCACATGGGTACGATGATGACTTTGTCTCCTCTCAAAGCGACGCGCCCTTCCTCTTTCCAAGGCAGCAATGAGTTCAAGGTACCTTAAGCCGTTGGTACCTGACGTGCTCACCTTCCAGGTCCAGGCATTTGACTACCAAAGTGGTAGGCACCTCACCTTGAGTCACCTGACATCGCCCCGACCATCAAGCAATGACGTCGTCACGTAAGGTTTCGCCTGCCAGATGGGAAACCACACATTGTGCCACGTTTGCTTCATGACTCCGAGCCGACTTCAGACACATCTCACTGAGAACGCTCGCGATCTCGCCCATCTCAACTAAAACCCTCCAACAGCCTAGACATTTCCACTGTTCGCAGGCGCCCAAACCCCACGGCTTAGTCCCCCCTCTCATACCTAGGCCAAGAGCATCATCATCAACCATGCCTGCCATTCCCATCTTCAAGGACACTCCGATCAACGCCTCCAAGGCATCGGGAGCCACTCCGCAAACCGAGGAACCACAAGCCAGGGACCATTCCAATAACGTCGCCGAATTATCGCAAAGTCAAGTCGGCGCACCCGCACCATCATCCACCGGCCAGCAGCCATACCCGCCGGCACAGCCTGGTGCCGCCCCGTCTCTCCCTGTCCAGACAGCTTCCGCACAAGCATATCCTGCTCCGCGCCCAACTCCCACTCAGAAGACGAATGATGTCAGTCCTCCGCCGCCCCAACCAGGTGCTGCCCCCGTACCGGTAGCGGGTACGTCGACTCTGCCTCCTCCGCCGAAGGCAGGCCAGACCTACCAGCCTCCAGCCCCAACACCCGCCACTACGGCCACCGTTTCTTACCCTCCACAAATGGGTATCCCTCCTCCAACCATGTCACACGCGGCGTTGCGAGGATCTTCCACGTCTACTACTAATGGACCTCAGATGACTGGGCCGCGACCTGTCCCACTGGGAGGCGATCCTCCACTCAGCCTTGAACACCCTCCAGGATATCAGCAAGACGTTAGTGCGTCTGAATTCAGTAGCCATCAAAGAGCTGCTCACCAAGCTGCGGTAGCATCATCGGCAGAGAAAGGCTATCAAAGTCAGCCGGAAGAAGGAGTATGGGACACTGCGAAGAAATGGGCACAAGCTGCTGGTGGCAGTTTGGCTGCGGCCGAGCAAGAAGTCTGGCGAAGAATCAACAAAGACTAGCACAGTCAGTCATGAGTTTTCCGTGTCACCGTATCAATCAACTTCACACTATCAAATACCAAGCCCATCACTTTGAGCTCTAGCTTTGAATAGACACCTTTGTGAATATAATGAGGATCGATTCGAAGCCTTGCCATCGGCGTTCTGCGCCATCTTGGCCGGGTACAGCTGGCGATATGTTGTCAGTCTCCAACGGTAGGCATCAGGCGCCTAGCTCTTTAGGCCCCTCACCCTTACTCACCTATTTCCCAGGCTGATCCATCCTAACACCTCGCACCAGTCGACTAACTAGCGCAGGGTTTTTTCGGCTTCGCGATTCCATCATTGTCTCCCTGATCACTTTTCGCGGTCCTGCCATAGTTGCAATTACTTTCTTTTGGAGTAATCGAGATTTGCCCGGGTCACAATATGGCAGCAGCGCGCCCAAGACCGAAGGCCAACACGGTCTATGTCACTTCCAACCTTCTATTTCCGTCGTTGCCATTGTTGGTGCTAAACTTACACTAACGTTGGCCGGAACTCCTACCTTGTCCAGCCCGTCATTTCCTAGCCGTCCCGTCAGAGAGCTGGAATCATTCTGGCTATGGTAAACATCAAACACATCGATAAGACTGATAAAACGCCGACTAACATAGCGTACTGGAAAGAGTTCATCGCTACCCTGTTCGCCGCCCCTTTTCCCCTTGCGGCTGCAGATGTGATCTTGTCAGCCTCCCCCAATGATCCGCCTGATGTCTGGTACCCAGTATCGAGTCCAGTCGACAAGCAACCGATGGCGGGGTAAAGTCGCGTCATCATTGGTCTATGATCTCCATAAGAGCCGAGCTATAGACAGCGGCCACGGCTGGAGAGTTGGCGTAATTTCCCAAAACGTCCGAGGTTGTTATGCAAGCAAGACAGCCACTCCTTGTCGGCGGCCAGCCCGGAGGATCCACAGAACAACTCATCGAAGGCTCGGTAGAAGCTGACGGCGGATACTGGGGGCTCTTGGAGGCCACCGGCGCGAGACGTTGCATCTTCGCACAGACAAAATTATCAAAGACGGCCTCGTATGTGGTTGCTCTCAGATTCGCACGTCTGATCTAACGGGAGCGTCGTTTGTCCAGATGCTGCTCTACGGCGTACGACGGTCGAGATGGATACCCGCGACCGTTGCCCGACTGAGGAAGACAACGCTAAGTTTCACTAACGCTGTACAACACACAGAGCCTTACGACAGAGTTTTTGACGGACAAGCGATGTGCGTCGTTAGCGCCACGTCAATATTTACGGCGGGCAGACTGTCGCCAACGGATTCGCTCAACAAGCTTTAACAGCACACGGCCTTCTTCCTAGCGACGAATGATGGATGGCGGGTGCCACTTTACGCGTGTACAAGCTGTGCCGGATGGCGGTCCCCGGGCGTCAAGTCGCGCCCGCAATCTGGATAGCGATGGCGGGAGCTGGCGACCGTCTTAGGCGAGGGTATTATGGGTTCTATCAAGGACATCCATGGTTTTAGGAGCTATAGCGGGTGACCATTATATGGATGAACGACTCTCCACCAACAACACGAATAGAGCAGCAAAGGCCAGAGGCATTAACGTGACGCGTGTTATTGCCGCCAAGTCGCCGTAAGTTGCTGAATGATTGGTCTTTTCTTCACTGATTCTTGGTCACAGGAGCAAGAAGTTCCTTTTCCCGTTTACACTGGTGTTCAGCCGGCTTTCAGCCTGACCCATGGCTGTCAAACCTGAGTCTTTTTTGGCCATGATCCACATCAGCTCATCGTGGTAGTATAGGTGCTTAGAGGGGCAACTTTGTGCGCACACTAGAGCAGACGATGGAGCGAATCACAGGCTGCGGGCGGCGAGGTGGGCGCGGCTCGCAAACAGGCGCGTCAATGAATGACAACCCGGGTTGAATGTGAAGGGAAAGAGGAGGAACAACCAGTCCCGTAGTCAGACGTGTTGGATCGCCAGCCCCGGTGAACCCTCTTGGCGCAACAGCCAAACCGGAGTTGTCTCTACGGAATACAGCAGGCAAACACGTCAAAGGGGAAACCAGATTCAGGTTGCGACACCCAGAAGGATTGGTTGAGTAAGCGGACAAGTCACGGCAGGCAGAACAGAAAGTCACGTCGAAGCAAATCGACTAGAGCCGAGCTCACACTTGGTTTCGTCCTGGAATGACCAGTTCTGGACAAGTCTCACGTCTCATACAAGAGCCCAAACGCCATCATCTGTGCGGCGTATTTGAATTCGAGGCCATCTTGATTTGATTTCCGTCAAAGCTAAAGTATTGGCAGAGTCTCAAAGAAGACAGTTTTCAAGAAACAACAGTAGATGGGGATGAACCTCACGGACAGCGCCGCACATGTCTGATTTGGGACCAAGCAGGGCTTGTCACAGCTGATTGACGGCCTTCACAAATGAAGTATAGGTGCAAACGAAAGCGAACGGGGTTAGAATGAAGCCGGAGAGCAGCTGACAGTTGCTGCTGCTGTAGGCGTGGCGTGGCAGGCGCAGGGCCAGCTGGCCATGTATGGAAGCAAATGGAACGAGGCGGGCATCCAGATGCTAGGCAGATCGATCTTAGACGGGGTGACAGGCGACGGATCACTAAAGTTCAAGGCGCTACGGATCTATGTGGGAGGAACAGTTATCTGGTGATGCAGAAGATATTGCTGCACGAAGATGCATAGCATCATTCTCGAGCACCTCCAAACTGGCATCCCTCTCATCAGGACACTGCACGGGACGAGACGGCATATCGTCGTTTGTTTGTGTTCCTCACGGCAACACGATCGACTGCCTTTGGCAGCTGGCAAGATTATCGAGAGAAGGCCTGGCAGGCCATCGACATACGAAAGGCGCGGAGAAAGCAAAAGATGCGAGAGGCAGGCCGTCCCGGCGGGGATGAGGGCAACAGTGACAGACTCGGAAAGAGAGGGACTGCGGTCAACGGTCAACCCAGTCGAGGGGCTGAAGCGAGACAAGGGTGTGTCGTTCTGCGACAGATCTGAGACAGCTTCTGCCCCTGCTCAACCCCTGGCACAGCCCCCGCGTCCCCGGTGGACTTGCAGTAGCCTGGACCCAAATGCAGCGAGTCACGACCACGAGTCAGCGGCGATGGGTGGGATTCCGACACGCTGTACAAGATAGTAGTGTCCCACTATCAGAAGCCGAACAACTTTTCCGTATGGCGTACCGTGGTTCTGTTTCTACTGCGATGTGTCACTGTCAACGCCTGGACATGGCCAATGATCCGCGGAATGGAGAGGACGCTACGCTACGGTACGCGATAGGATGAGAACGAGGCGAGAGTCGGACGAGATCAAAGACACGGCAACAACTGGCCAAAAGTCTGAAGATGAAAAAGCGGCCTAGAAGGCCCAGTGGGAGCATATCGGAGGACAAGACGGGATCGAGACCGGAGAACGTTGAGAGTGTTCGGCACCGAATAGGACGCAAAGTTTGGCCCGTCGATTTCAGAGATGGATCGCATGAGAGAATGATGAACTTCCATCATGATAATCCGCATCATCCATCCGTTCGTAACTTTCAGACTCAAGAAAGTATGGATGGTTGGAGCAATAGGCACGTATGAGCTATGGACGAACAACTCCAGTACGGGCAGAATACCTCACGGATATTCGCAGGTAAACGTGCCAACACTGCAGTCTGCAAGGCACGCCGCACCGTACGCTACAGCACAACACCACACACACACACACACACACACACACACACACACACACACACTGGTGCATCCATCATCGAGTCTGACGAGGCACGAGGCACGCGGCACGACGCACAAGAAGCAGAGAGGCAGAGAGAGGGGACGAGCCCAATGGGTACGTACTGTCGTCAGGAACGGAACAACGGGACAGGAAGAAACCAAGGCCAAGACCAACCAACCCACACACCCGCAGGCTGCAGCAGTGCAGCACCCCTCCCACACCCCCCCTCGACCGCCCCCTGCAGATGCTTACCTCAGCGACAAATCATATTGCGCCGCCGGGCAGCTCAAAGTCAACTTCAAACGTGCTTGCTCCGTGCCACCACCAGCAACGGCAGCAACAGCACCACCACCCTCGCCCTCACCATCATTACCACCACCCTCACCATCACCACCACGATGTCTGCCGACCAACAATGTCAACGATGTTGACGACGTCCCAGCTCCATCATGGCGCACTCATATACCCTCCTTAATTGTTGATTACGGGCACGCCTACCTATGATCTCGTTCCCCCCTTTTCGAAATGCGTCTTTGGTCTGGTAATATCCGCGTGGTCTGGTCTCTCTCTCTCTCTGTCTCTTATGAATCCTAGGCACAAGAAGGTTTCTGTGCGGCAACGTGTCGTCCTTTTCGGAGACGCGATGCCTGTCGCGTGGACACTCTCTCTGTTCGGCTCGTGCTCACAGTCACTGCTGCTGCTCAGCAACTGCGGTTGACTCCTCTCACTCGACCATGTCCAAAACATTTGAACCCACTCGCTATCCTAGGCAGACAGCCAAAAGATTCCATTTCTTCGATGGATCGCCTCAGGATACCAACAAATGGACTGGCCTGGAAACTGCAACTGGAACTGGAACTGGAGCTGCGACTGGAACTTCTTCGTCTGACCCCCTCATCCACATGGTCCCGAGGCTCCCTCCTCTCGGCAACCCTCCGCTCCTGAATCCCCTGCAGCCCTTCCGGAACGCAGCCAGACAGATATCTGGATAGACAGACAGACGAAATATGGAGAGACGAACAAACCGTCATCCACTCGCCGCAACCTTTCGCGCATTTTCTCCGATCTCCAGCCGTGTGTGCTCTGCATGCTGCAGCTAGTCAAGCTAGCTTAGCTCAAGCTCAGCTAGCTAAATCAAGCTGTGACTGAAGGCAATCTCTCCTTCTCCGCAGCCGCCGCGGCCTCCGTCGCCGAGCCATCAGCCTATCTGTAAACTGACATTTCTCTATGTACGCATCGACCCAGGAGCACATACCTGCATCTGTGCTGCTTTATGCCTGCCGCTCCTGTTCTCGCCATTGGCACAACGGCCGAACAAGAAAAGTGAAGCCCGAGAGCGGATCTGCTGGAAAGGATAGGATGCCAGGTTCATCATGTGGGGAACCAGGGATTTGACAAAACAGGAACAGGTGTCATCCCTGTACCGCACTCGCTGCCAAAACAAGAGCCCGACGTCAGGATTCTCTTGCTTCTCCTGCCAAACACTCTCGTTCATGATCTTCCTACCCGAGCTTGATTGGCCCCAGGTACTCATGGGTAAAATCTCAGGTTTCCACACCAGTCACTCTGCAGTCTCTGCCCGAGGCCCCTCCCCATGGCCCCCATGCCCCATTGGCCTGGGACGGGATGAGGGACTGGGCCTTGTACCGCGGCGGATTTACCTTGCAGACGTGCCGTACTCGGCCTACTGACACTCCAGACCAAGTCGTATCGTATCATTCCGATACTGGACTGAGGTTCGTCCGTGAACCCTGCCTTTTCCTTGGTTTCCGCTGCGAAAGGTTGGAACGCAACGCAAAACTCGTCCGCTAAAAGAGACGAGAGAAGAAGGGTAGAGTTACGGACAGGGGGTGGACAAGAGAGTACCTTACTGTCCAGTGTCACCTGTGGTCACTGGAAACTCCCAAGGAGGGAAACCAACAACGATGACTGAGGTGAGGTGAGGCCCGCTCCAGATCAGGCCCAGTCCAGGTGGTTTCGGCTCCGCTCCCACTTCTCAGTAATCATACATTCAGCAAGTTCAACGTACCGGCCGCCGGCTGCAAGCCACTAGCAGTAGCCGTGATCCATTCCGCTGCCTCACTTTCTTCCTCCCCGATGCTCCCCTTCTAGGCTCTGCCCTCTGCCCCTCGGCCCCTGGGGCCATGTCGCCACATGTGGGTGTATGGGTTGAGACAAGCCACCTCCTCGGGAACTATTTCCTTCGGATCGCTAGGGTCCTCGCCAATTCTCAGCCCTGAATAACTGATGGCCCTAGTCGGAGACCACCGAAAGTGCCCTTCTAGCTCATACGTCAAGTGCGGTTATCGTCGATACAGGGCGATCTAGTGGATGGCCTTTGGTCCAAGTTTGGTCCTGTATTTCGTCACGACGAATTTCTCTGCTACAAATCCACAGCTGCACCGCCGCCGTGGGCTGCACAATATGGCGAGGGGACGGGGAGGTGAGGGGGGGCTAAAAGGTCTAGAAGGGGGAGGGGGTCTTGACAAGGTCTTGCAGGTGTATCCGTATGGAAGTGAATGGGTGGATGGGTGGATGGAGAACCAGGCCAGACTCGAGAGTAAGTGAGAAAGGAAGTATTCCATGGCCCATGGTTTGGTGCAAGTGAACCTCCTCCATACGTTATGGCAATTGTCTTTCCTACCGTCTACCCTCTTCTTTTCCGTCCCATCACTACTCTCTTCCTGACTGGCTAGTCTTGCCATGTTCATGGGCTATTCCTTACACTTTTTACTCCCACTCTCCATATCTCTCTTTTTCTCTCTCTGTCTGGGTTTCTCTCGGCCTTTCTGTCCGTCCTTTTTTTTTTTTTTTTTTTTGTCCTCCACCCCCCTCCGACTCTCAGTCCCTCGGACTCTCCACACCACCATCAGCCCTCCTCCCCTCTGCTTCCTTCATCATACTCTCTATCCGGACCTCTCTCTGCCTCTTCCTCAACTATATTTCCCATCACGCTCTCATCGCGGACCCGAGTTCGTGCCATATACATAGTTTATGAGCATACATCCATCATCTGGGTACAGCCCTGTCGGCGTGTTTGATCCTTGTCCCCGTCTTCCAAAAGCAGTCGGGAGTAGGCCGCTCCCTGGTTCATCGGCATCTTACTCCCACACATCCACATCGACGAACAGATGTTACCTTGTCCACCACCATAAGAACCCCCCTGCAACTCTTGCCCTCTCGCTGAGCCAGGCCAAGCAGATTCTCGCACACCTGCCTCTGGCCCCAAGTTCACAGACAGGAAGAGGTTTGTATCAGGGAAATCCGGCTTAGCTCCAACCGACGTTCCGAACCTGACCGTGCTGACTTATTGGTCCGTTCATGGATGATGCTTCTTTTTCTACACTACTTCTTTTATACCTCCAGGATCCGTCTGCACCGCCCCTCGACCTGTCTTCTTTTTTGCTCTCCTTTCGCGTCCCACTTACCAAGGCCTCACTGCCCTTGATTCTCTGCTAGTCACTCCTTTTTTCAAGCCTTGTAACCTATAATACTTTTTTTTCCTTTTTCGAGGGGGCTGCCTCTTCGCATCTATAATACCTACTCTCCGGGAGCTGGCTCTCTTCATCCCGCCAGGAACCAGGACGGCCAGCTGCGCGCTCCAACACTCACACACACACACACCTTCAGCCATCAAAGCACCAAACGAGGTTGCCGATTATTGCAAACTCATCACGCTCCTTTACTACCTTTGAGGATCGTACGCATACATACATACAACATAAATACAGAGTACCCAACACAAAGACTCTTATTACAAAAGATCCTCAATCGCGCTGTCTAGCTGAGGACGGGAATCCCTACCGCCTCCATCTATACACCACCCACTAGCCTCATCGCGAGGACCCGCTGTCCTTAACGCTCATCATCGTCCTCCCATCCTCGAGGGAAAGAGACCGGAAAGGGACCAAGAGAAAGCAGAAAGAGAAAGGAGCCAAGAAGGGAAAGGAAAAATCTACGCGTCCCCTGGCCCCAGCAAACATAACCACTCACGTCGCCGTCCATTACTCGTCCAGTCCGGAGATTATTTGTCTCTCTCCGCTCAGGTTGGCCACTGCGCCAGATTCTTCCAAGTAAGTTCCTGGAAGCCCTTCTCTGTCGGCCTGCCGGATCGCGCTCGTCGATACGTGGGCAGTGTGGATCCCCCTCACCCCCCGACTGCCGTCAGATACAACTGCCACCCTTGATGTCCCTCGTCCGAGGATCAATGCTAACAACCCACCGTCCCCGTTCAGCATCAACCCGATAATTGATTAACCGCACGCTCCCTTGTTCCTGTATAAGCACCATGGACTCTGGTCAGGCACAGCTGTAGGCCCCATCCCGTCCCTGCAGCTTCCGGCATACATGACTTACAAGTACATTTTAGTCGGCAACAAATACACACACCTTCCTTCACCTTCAACCCTAACAACAAGTTCA